CAGGGCCGGTGCTCTATCTACTACAGCGCCACCTAGCTACCCCTTAGCCTTGTGCTTTAATCCCCCCAATGGGAACTATTTGCCAATACCTCTCTCTGCTCCCCTCCTTTCTTTACATGTCACCACCTTCTGCTATCATCCCCCCCAGTTACTACCTGATGAAGAGGAGGTGCTTTCCTGATTGTGACCAAGCCTTCTCCAGGCACCTGGGATCTTATCTGTTCCTGTCTAACAGATTGCCACCACTATCATCCACACTCTTCCTATGATCTTTAATCTCTAGCTAGCTACCGGCTCCTTCCCTGCTGCCTACAAACATGCCCATGCCTCCCCCATCCTCAAAACCTCCCACTAAATTCTACTATCCCTTCATCATTCTATCTCTCTCCTCCCTTTCCTTGAAAAAGCAGACTATAAATGGTGCTTCAACTGGGTCTCCTCTCACTCCCCTGTCAACCCCCAACCCCATAATCTGGATTCAGACCTCAGCACTCAACTGCTTCTAGAGTAACCAACGATGTCTTAGCCGCCCAATCAAATAGTGACCCCTTGGTTGTCATGCTTCGTGACCTCTGCTGCATTTGACAACATCGACCATTCTTTTTCCTGGAGACCCTCTCCCCTCTTGGCTTTCAGGACAAGGCTCTCTCCTAGTTCATCACCATGTCAGCCCAACTAACTGTGAGTGTTTCCCAAGGCTCTGACCTGGGCCCTCTTTTCTGTCTGTCTGTCTGTCTCTCTCTCGCTCTCTCTCTCTCTCTCTGTCTGTCTGTCTCTCCCTCCCTCCCTCCTCTCTGACTTCATTAATTTCCATGAATTCAATCAGCACCTCTATGCAGATGACTCAATATGTCCAAAATGGAACTCATTCTTTTTCCCCTTAAACCCTCCCCTCCTCCTTCTTACCTTCTCTACTACTGCTGAGAGCACCCCCATCCTCCCAGTCCATCAGATTCCCAAACTAGAAGTCCTCACTCTCTTTCTTACCCCCTACATCCAATCTGACAGCCAAGGCCTGCTGATTTCATCTTTGCAACATCTCTCAAATGTGCCCCCTTCTCTTCTCTAACACTGCCGCCACCCAGGCACAGTCCCTTATCATCTCACGCTTAGATTATTACAGTAGCCTACTGGTGGGTCTACCTGCCTCAAGTCTCCCCCGACTCCATCCATTCTCCGTTCATCCACTAAAGTGATTTTCCCAAAATGCAGGTCCAATCATGTCAACCCCCTCCCTCCAACTCAGTAGTCTCCAATGGCTCCCTATCACCTTCAGAAACAAATACAAAATGCTCTGTTTGGCATTTAAAGTCCTTCATTACCTAGCCAGCTCCCTGCCTTTCAGTCTTCTTACATTTTACACCCCACATGTACCTTAGACCCAGTGACTCTGGCCTTCTGGCTGGTACACAAACAAGACCCTCCAACTCTCAGCTCCTGGCATTCTCTCTGGCTGTCCCCCAGGACACTCTAGTAACCGACCTCCCTGGCTTCCTTGAATCCCAACTCAAATCCCTTCTACAGGAAGCCTTCTCCACCCCCTCTTCATTCTAGTGTTTTCCCTCTGTTCACTATTTACCATTTATCTCATCTATAGCTTGCCTGGTATATATTTATTGCATGTCATCTGCCTAATTAGATTGTAAGCTCCATGAGGGCAGGGACTGTCTTTTGCCTTTTTTTGTATCTCCAGTGCTTAGCACAGTGCCTGACACATAGTAGGCACTTAGTAAATGTTGATTGATTGATAAATTAATTCCCAGATCAATATAGCCAGATCAAAGTCTTTTTCCTGAGTCCCACGTGACTAACTGCTTATTGGACATTTTAAAGGGGATGTCCCAGAGAAATCTCAAATTCAACATGTCTAAAACTCAATTCATAATAATAACTAGCATTTATATTACAATTTACGGTTTGCAGAGTGCTTTCGCAAACATTATCTCATTTGACCCTCACAACAACCCTTCGAGGTAGGTGCTATTATGATCCTCATTTTACAGATGAAGAAACTGAGGCAAAGTTTCAAATGACTTCTCCAGGGTCACACAGCCACCAAGCGTCCGAGGCTGGATTTGAACCCAGGTCTTCCTGACTCCAGGCCTAGAATATTACCCATCTAGCTGCCAAAACTCACCTTTCCCCTCAAACCCTCCCCTCCTCTAAACCTCCCTATTATTGTCAATGGCATCAAAAAGGCTGTTGTCCTTTGGCAGCCCAAGTTTACAGCCTGACTTTGATGGCTCTCATTAACCCCGCCAAATCCCACAGATTCCATCGGTCACCAAATCTTGTCGTCTGCACTTTTCCACGGTCTCTCGCTGGCTGACTCCCACAGCCACCGCTGGAGTTTAGGCCCCCATCACCTCTTGCCTGGTTCCTCATGTTCCTCAATTCCAGTGCCTGCCCTCTGGTAATTAGCTCCTGTTTCTCCTGCCTAGATACAGCATGTTGTCTCCCCCGTTAGACTGTGAGCTGCTGGAAAGCTGAGACTGTCTGCAGCCTTGCTGTGTGCTTCATACAGTGCTTTGCACAGTGCCTGGCACATAGTAGGAGCTTAAGAAATGTTTATTAACGGACTGACTGATACAAAATCTCAAAGAGCACGGGACCAAGCATATATCCATTCCTGGGTTCATCCACTGGGGCCAACCTTCCATGACGATACTGAAACATTCAAAATTCCTCCTCAAGTCTAGCCATCCAAGCCATTCCAAATCCATCTGATTTCATTCTTATCTAATGCTTTAGAAAAGGTTTGGCTAAAATTTAGGTAAACTTTATGCACAGCATTCCCTTCATCTACTAGTTTTTGAATTCTGTCAACAAAGGAAATGAGGTTAGACTAGCATGACTTAACGTGAAAAAGCCAGTAGAGTCAGCCAATCGATAAGCATTTATTAGGCAACTACTATGTGCCAGGCACTGTGCCAAGCATTCACTGTGGATACAAAAAGACAAAAGACAGTCCCTGACCTCAAAGAGCTCACAATCTGATAGAGGAGGGCTCACTATATAACAGAGCGCCTCACTGTATGATAGAGGGGCTCACCATATAATGAAGGGGTTCACCACGTAATAGAGGGACTTACCACATAATGGAGGGGCTCACAGTATAATGGAGGGGCTCAGAGTAAAATGGAGGGGCTCACCGTATAATACAGGGGCTCACGGTATAATGGAGGAGCTCACGGTATAATGGAGGAGCTCACGGTATAATGGAGGAGCTCACAGTAAAATGGAGGGACTCACCATATAATAGA